AAGGGTGGGCAAATTGAGCTAGAATGTGCTCCCTACCTTTGTTTGGGAGAGAAAAAAGTATACTTGGCTTTTGGAATTATACTTAGGATTCCTCACTTTGAAGATCATTTTAGCTAAGAATAAAAGAAAATTTGTGGGGGATGATCATATTGTGTGATAGGCATGGCTTGGGGCCCTATAATTCACAAATATCTCTTACAATTGAATTTTCTTTGACAATAATTATACATTCAATGCATTGAAAAGTGAAGGGGAAAAAAAGTCTATAGAAAATTACTTTGTGACTTTAATTCATTTTAAGTCGTATTCAAAATAAATTTACGTCACATATTGAATTTTTTTTTTTTTGTGCATATATATTGTAGCATAATTATTATTATTTTTTAAAGTATTTGGGTGACCTTTTGCTATTTGAGTTACCTCTTTTATTCTTTCAATTAGCATTAAGTCAGATTTTAAACATCAACTAATACATATAGAGATTTCAAATTTTCTATACACATACTGATCGATACTACTCAATTTTAATCAACATAAGTATATACATGTTACACTGAGTTTTAACTAACCAGTTAATTCAACTACCGGAGTTTTATACGATGGGGCATTCATGATGGGGTGATAATGGTGGGTACTCTAATTGCTATCAAAATCCAAATTTTCATAGATTTCATCAATATATATTCATCCAATAATCACTATGCATCTCACCTCACCAACGGGCCCTGATTTGTTGGTTAATAATTTTCAGAGACCTTTTTCTTTTTCTTTTTTTTTTATTATTATTTTTTTTTTGACAAATTTCACTTTAATTCCTCTGTAATTTGGCTTATGTGCACATAATCCTTTGTCATTTAGAAATAAGAATATAATTCCAGGTTCTTTTGTAGTTTGTAGACTAAAATACACCATTAGACCAATTACTACTTAAATGACAAAACTAAATATTGTCGTACATAAATAACCTCATTGTTCAAATATTATGCAAACTGTTGACATTTGCAAAATTCACTTTGATCCTATATGCTTTACTCCATGTGCAATTAGCCCATTTGACATTTGAAAATAAGCACATAACTCTCTCATGTCTTTATACATGTTTCATACTTCTTGTTAACTTAGACAAAATGTCTAACGGTGCACTTTAGTCTACATGCTACAAAGAAATTATGTTCTTATTTCTAAATAATAGGGAGTAAACTACACATGGAGTAAATAACAAGGACATAAAATGAAGTTTGCCCTCCCTTTTTTCAAGGGTTGGTGTCTGTCATCCCTACCTAATTAAGTGTTTCGAAGGCAAGATTATTCTTATCAAATACACTAATTTACCTGTAAATTACGTACATCAATTAAATTAACACTTTACTATTAGTGAGAAATAAGTGCACTTTTTTACTTTTTATGAAATACAGGTTATGTTTGAAATGATGTGATAGAGAGGTGATGTAACTTAAATAGGATAGTGATTTTTTGACTTTTTGACTTTTTTAATATATGCCAAACAAGGCCTTATATTTACAGTGCATCTCATGACTTGTAAATTCTCAAGAATTGGTCATGACATATTTATCTTTCAGAGATCAAGATTTCTAGCATATTTATAAAAGGAGGTATTGTTAGCAAAAGCATATGTAGTATTCATGTATGTACAAATTAAAGTACCACATTGTACATAATATAGTTTAAAAAGGGAGAATTACATGCAGATAGGAGTTAGGAAGAAAATTATAAATATATGAGAGGTGAAAGTGTCACTTTCACTCCTCTATGCATTGATAATTTTTTTTTCTTAATTCTTACCTGCATATAATTCTTCTTTTAAAAAACCACAAGTGCAAACATGTACGACCATGCAATGCAACAACATATGTTTTTAACCCAAAATAAAATAAAATAATAATAATAATAATAATAATAATTGATAGTTACAACTGTTACTGCCTTCTATGATTTGCCCCACTATTTGTCTCCTTTGATGTTTAAACTAATCCGACCTTTTTTTTGTCTGATTTCATTTCAGTCCTTGGGTGGGCTATCATGTTTTTAATTGTTTCCATTTAATTATCTTTATCAGTGCTTCATCACCAAACTAACCCTACATTTTTTTTAATTTGACACTTTTAGTATTGGCGAAATGGTCCAAATCTTCATAGCTCCCACTGATCTAAACTTATTAGAAAATGCCATGCCTCATTAATTTAAAGAAAGATAAGGGCTGCCAATACACATTAGATTTACACTACTATATTTTAAGAATATATATATATTCACAAACAACAAATTTATACACAATTTCATACTAGAGTTATAGTGTGCCAATAACTTTGCCGAAAATAGAAGTTTATATTAATAGCTCTTGTTTTTAAAATAATAGAATTCAAGTCTGTCATATTATTCTGAATAAAGTTTTTCTATTTATATGGTACTACTATAAGTAAAGTGATATACGTCACTAAATTTTTATCACCATTTTATATCACTGTCTACGCTTATGATTGGCTATTTGTAAAGAAACAATTATTAAGAAAAAATGGAAGATGATTAATATCATTCCATGAATCTCATTATATAAAACACTAAAAAAAAGGTAATGATATATAGGACCTGTTTAATGCATTTTTTCTCAAGTTAAAAATTGATAATCAAAAAATAAAAAATAAAAATAAAAACTTCTCAAACTTTCAAATAATTAACCTTTTAAATAATTTTTATCACACAAATTATAAGCAAAAATAGCATCAAACAATTGAACGTATACTAGTGTACTACAATACAACACCGGGAGCCACACTTGTTGGAACAAACTAAAAGGCATCAATAATAAAGTGTGGTATACATATAAATATTCAAAGAGGAAAGTCCTAATAAATCATTATCTATGGCCTAATGTCTTGTGCCAACCAACCCCTGAATTCATCTAAATCAAGTGGTCCAAACAGCCCCTCAACAATTTATGCAACTATTCCCTCAAAAAGCTGAGAGAATCGAGATCAGAAACAAGTCCAAGAGGAACGGGTGAGAAATTGTACTCCCCAGCATTTGTTGCAAACCTTGTGACTTTCTTCATGGTGGTGGTCCATCGATAGAGACTTCATTTGTCTAGTATTAAGGTTGTGTTTGAATCAAATACTTAATGAATAATTTGTGAACGGAAAAGAAAAATAGTTTAATTGTGTTTTTAGAATCTATTTTGTTTTTAAAAAAAAAATCAAAAATTAGTTTGGTGAAAAAGAGTGAAAAAAAATAAAAACTCTTTGTATTTTTATACTTTTGAGTAATTTTTTGTTTTTCTTTTGCAAATAAAAAAATATATATTTAAAAAAGAAAAAGAAAAAAAAAGAAGAAGCATGTGTATGTAATGCATGGATATGGCAAATGAAAGTAGTGTCTAAAATGTATGTTATGTTCACCTTTTACACCACCATGTCATCAAGTCCCATTCTTCTATTCTGATTAAAAAAAATTAAAAAAATTATGATAGTATATGCAAAAAAAAAACCAAAAACAGTATACCAAATGTCGGGAATCTGGGGCTAAGTGACAACTTCATTGTTAGCTAGGCTTTTTTTTTTCCCTTGCTTGTTGAGTGGAGAAACTGTAAATTAAAGTAGCTTTAATTGCCTTGGCCTTCCATGATATCTCTCACTACATGCATTTCAATTTATACACGCTTAATATACACTTGATTAATCGGGAAAGCTTTCAGTATTAGTTAAAGTAAAATGATATTAAGAGTATCAAATTCTAGTTATGGTTTTTTTTTCCTAAATCATCAGTACCAATGTACCATACAGAGTTTTTTAGCCCAACTGATAAGCTTAGATATGGTATAATGTTATTATTCAAATTATACCTTCGACAATAGTAAAAACCACAATAGCTATGAACATAACCTTAGTTTGAAATGAATCATGTAAACTTTGTATTCTTTGTTTGCACGTGTGATTTATCTTTTGTGTGTTTGTTTTTTTTCTTTTTTTCTTTTTTTTTGGTGTTTCGTGTCATCAATCCTATTTAAGTATCATGAATTCCTAACAAACATATACTATAAACACAAATTATTTCGCAGAAAAGTGAATGGAATTCTTGTGGAATGTGGGCTCATCCAGCAATACTGCATTTTGTACTTTTCTATAATAATTGGTGTTTGTAATATTGTTTCTGAGATTTGAAAGGAGCATTCCATTGCTTCATAATCAAGGTCTGACATAGATGATATAGATCAATGAATAATGGAGGATGGGGGTTTGAATGTTAGGTATTAACCCAAGAGATAGAGAGGCAAGCTTGTCTGCAATCTAAGGGGCCAAGGCTCATAGGAGTGTTTTGGAAAGAAAGTTAAAAAGTAAATTTTTTGATTTTTTTCATAAAAAACATGTAAAAAATATATAAGGTAATATAACTTAAAATGAGTTAAAAATTGACTTTTAACTGTATTGTAAATTGGCCCATAGACAACAGTCATGGGCCAGATCACTGGCTAAGGAGTCTATTCATTGAAATGAAACCACAAAGAAAATTATTCAGTGTCTATGGGTACCACGTGTTGACCAATCAGTAAATGTCACAATCTCTTCTTGTTTCCTCAATTATCAATACAAATTTGTAAGCATCACTTTTTTCACCAATCATAGCTGATTTTGAAAGACACAATAATGTCATGATCTTATGCCATGATCTTTTGTTGTCTTCTCAAATACCAACAAAAAAAACTTATGCACCACACTTTTTTCACGGATCACATCTGATTTCGAGCACCAAGTAGTCATGCCGTGCCCTTTGGGGCATGGAATAACTTCTCCACCTTTATTGCTTGAGGGACCAACTGTGAGGCCCTTCTCTGCACTCATCTAGCCTATGCCTCACAAAATTCCACAGTCAGTTCTCAAAAAGTTCTTCCTCTAAATGAAAACAAATGGCAAAGCTACAAACTCTTCATTGTCATTCACGTGCATGGCACAGTACAATAAAAAGAGACACAGAGAGAGAGAGAGAGATATGAAAAAACAAATATATAAAATTGTATTGATGAATCCAAATACAACACTCATGAAAAAAGTAAAAGGCCCCAAAGACCTTTGTATGGTTAGGCCCAATTTTGGCCTTTAAAAAAACAAAAAATGAATTTCCGACATGTAACCATTACACGTGCAAAGATCACTCGAATAAAAAAAAAATCCGCCAAAAAAGCACACATACACACGTGTGGAACACACCATATATCAGTATGTACACACACTTAACACTCAGTAGTTTATAATTACATGAAAGCCATCTTTTATTCTCCTCTTCTTTTGCTCTCCAGTTGAAGCAATGATGTGTGGCCTAAGAAGATCATGACAAGCTTGACTATAATATCCCATGATGAATAATATAGCTCAAACTTCAAAGTTTCAATCTTCAATCCCCTTTATTTTTTAACTAAACCATTGATTTTCTCTCCCCTCTTTTAACCCCAAATCCTCTATCATGGTCCCACCATCATCTCCCTTTCATTCAATAATCCATACCAACTTTGAATTCAATCACCCACTTCTTTCACACTCCATGACTCTTCCACTATTAAACAATCTCTCACTTTCTCACATAAAAATTATATATGTACCAAATCCCCTTCCCTTGGGAATCTGCAAAGCCAGTAATGAATGGCAATGCCCACCAAAAAACACCCAAAAAAATTATAGCATATCTCTCCAAACTTCAATACATACAAGACATTATATACTAATAATCTACACCAATCAAGTCAATTTTTTTTTCCTTCTTTTTCTCAAAACTCTCTCCCCAAAAATATTGAGGATTATAGACAACTAGGACCACCATTTTCTTTTGTTTTATACCTTAATCAGAGCTCCCTTTGTCATCATCTACCCACAAGCTTTTATTTAATTTTCTCCTTTTAAAAGATGATGATGAAGATGAGGATGATGAGTCACCCGGCCCGATGCTGACCTGAGTCATCACTCGGAGTTGTGGTAACACTTTTGGAGCCTTCCTTCCCCTATTATCAACAGCAATTTCCTGCATCAACTGGTAGCAGCTGATGATTTTCTCCTGCAAAAAAACAAATATTTTCCAAGTTGGCATATATTCAAATAGATTTACTATTTTTTTGTATGCCCAACCTAAATCATAATAAAATGTTCTTACTTTCCGAAGTCCTTCACACCATGATTCAGCATGTGCAGGATTGACAATAGACAAGTTTGGAATATCATGGGCTGCACATAGAATAGTTGCAGCAGCAATGCATGACGGCCAGTACTCAAGAAAACTAGCCTCTGTTCACATCATCATAACATTCAACATCTTAGTGTATATTGAAATTTAGTCTGAAAATAAAAAAAAAAAAAAAAAAAGTGTGTAGTGTGTATACCCAGAATACATTTTATTTTCGAAATAAATTTTAAATATTTTTCCTGTATTATTACCTTGGATATTAGAAAGGATAATTTGAGTAGCCCTTGAAATCAGAAACCCAGTATAAGTTCCTGTTGAATCCAACTTGTACGCAAAATAACTGATGAAGCTGAAAGGTGTGATGGACCTTAGCCTCCAATCCAGAACAGTGAGTACAAGAAGCTCCATCCGTCGGATTGTTCTTGGTTCAAATATATATTTTGCACCTTCCACCTATGGAATCATTATTCAGAAATGTATTATAGTGCCCATAAGTTTGATTGGGTCAACCAATTTTTTTATTTTTTATTTTTTTATTTTTAACAAAGGCAATTAGATGATAAAATTACCTGAAGATCCAAAAGGGAAGGAACCAGAGGTTCCTCCATCTTTGCAGCTAGTGATAAGCAAGCAACCGATAGGAGTTGCAACGGCCACCCGCTTGTTTGCTGAGAAACAAAAATTTAAAAATTCCATACATTCAATAAAAATTCAAACAACAATAAGAGTAATGATATAAAAACAGAATATTTGTATAAATTTCAATATAGAATGATGCAAGTAATTATGATTCCATCATTTCAAAACAAAAGAATTATAATTTTTCTATTAATTAAGATATAATTTATGCTAGATGGTTAAGGTTACTCTGTGCACTATGCATTGCTAGTAAAAATTTCAAAAGACGAAGTGCCATGTATAATTGAGAGTGCAGAGTTTAGAAACTTTTGAGTACAGATATCCTGTGTGTGCCATTGATTAATAAGTAATTTTGTATGTTTAGAAGACGACAATCTTGCAGATGATTCTTTAATCACTGCAATATTGACTTTCTTGCCCTCATTTTTTTAGTTTTGCAGTTTTTTTTTTCTTTTTTTTTTTAATTCGCAATTAAAAGAGACCAATAAGTTATTTGGGATGACCTACATAAGTATATTTTTTAATTTTTTATGAAAATACGTACAAAGTGGTAGAGAGGTGATGACCCAAAATAAGAAGTGATATTACTCAAATAAGATAAGAAGATGTGCTAAAATATGCCAAACAATCCCCAAGTTAATGACCATGAATGATATAAGAAAAGTTAAGGGTAAAGACAGCATCAAAGTTTTTAATATTTTGCAACACTTGGGTCACCGCTACTAGTATTATTATGACTTGCATTGATTCGTATATGTTAAGACAACTTTGGTACCCTACAAAAACAATTAAGACCGTGTTTGGATCAGATTTTTAACTGACTTTTTAATCAACATTCATCTTTTATGTATATTTTTCAATTAATAGATTTTGCTTTTTTAATTGGCTTTCGGGGTATTTTTTTGACTTTTGGCTTTCTTACATAAAGCCAATATACAAAAAAGTTTTTGCTTTTTTAATTGGCTTTCGGGTATTTCTTTGGCTTTTGGCTTTCTTACATAAAGCCAATATACAAAAAATTAGTAAAAATTTCAAAAATCAAATAATAAAAACTAATAAAAAAGTTGATCCTAACAGCACTAAAAGTTATACAAGGCATAGTGAACTACTATTACGACCACAGGTGCAAAAATACTATACAGGCACGAAAATACTATACAAGCACAAAATTATTAATTAGGCGATCTTACTTTGTGAAGAGTATATATTCCTCATATCACATCGTCGCAATTTGTTCAAAATACTTGCTATCAAACTAACTTAGGCCAAATTTGGCATGATTGAAAAAAGATAAAAAGTCAAAAAGTCACTATCCTATTTAAGTCACATCATCTTATTTAAGTCACATCACCTCTCTAACACATCACTTCAAACCCAACCCAAACCCAACCCATTTTTCATAAAAAGTCAAAAAGTACACTTATTTAGTCTTCCCAAACTAGGCCTTATTAGACCATCTTCAATTCTTTATTAATTTTTTATTCAATATTTGATTTTAAATTTGAGTAAAAAAATTAATTTAATATGAATTACCTTAATCTTTACATCATATCTTTATTAAAATCTTTTTAAAAACTTCTCTCTCATTCCAAATTTCTCTTCTAATAAAATTTGATGAAAAAAATTATCTCCGACGCTTTATCTTTCTAGGCTTGGTTTGGGAAGTGGGTTGACTTTTTGGCTTTTTGGCTTTTTTGGCTATTTTAGCCTGGGCTTAAAAGCTTGGTTTGGGAAGGGCTTTTTGGCTTTTTGACTTTTTTGAGTTTTTTTGTGAGAGAATAATGTAATGATTATGGGTTGGATGTGATGTTTTGTTTGTTATGGCTAAAATAGCCTATTTTGTTTTTTGTGGCTAAAATAGCCAAAAAAGCCTCCAAACCTACTTGCCAAACAGAGGCTAATCTTCATCAAATTCAAATTTGATATCAAATTCATATTTGGTAATACATTTAATAAGTTCTCAATTTAATTAAAAAAATGATTCTCCATTAATTTGATAAACATTTAGGCCAAGTTTGGGAAGACTAAAAAAGTGTACTTTTTGTCTTTTTGACTAAAAAATTGAGGTTGAAAATATGGATGTTTGGGTTAACTTTTTGACTTTTTATTGAAAAAAAGTGTAATAAAAATTGTAAAAATTGATTTGTAGGGAAAAATTTGGAATTGGGAGTTGTGCAGCCGTAATTGTTGACTTTTGGTGAATAGTGTTAACTTTTTAACTTTTTTAGTAACTTTTTGGTTTTTTGGCTTTTTTGGAAGTACCCAAACTTGGCCTTAATAAAATGATTGGACATAGAGAACAGGGATAAAAGAAAAAGAGAAGAAATGAAAATGCTCTTAGGCTTGGTTTGGGGTATACTAAATAATACAAAAAGTTAAAAAGTTATTATCCTATTTAAGTCACATCATCTTATTTAAATCACATCACCTCTCTAACACATCACATCAAACCCAACCCAACCCAACCCATATAAGCCAATAAGTCAAAAAGTGCATTTTTTTAGAACATCCCAAACCAACCCTTAACTTAGGTTTAAATCATGAATTTGGTTAGTAATTTTAAAATAAAAACTATAATGTTAATCAACAATGATTTAGACCACTAAAAAATGCATCACTAATAGCACTAATATATTGGGAATGGCAAAAAAAATAATAAAAAAATAAAAACAAGGCATAGAAAGTGGACGGGGCCCACTGCCACATCATTAGTGCTCCCTTTAGTGATCTCTTTTTAGTGCTCTCAAGCATTTTTCAATGTTAATACAGTATAATTATATCTCACTCACTGTTATGTCTTTTTCTACTATTTGACATAAACTAAATAGTTAATTGACATGTGCTAAAATAGCACATACTATTTTAACATATTATCCTATTTAGATCATAATTATCTTATTTAATTCATATCATTTTTCTACCACATCATTTCAAATCAAATCTATATTTCACGTTTTTTTAGTAAAAAGTCAAAAAATATACTAATTTAACACTTTCCAAATCAGGTACTAGTTAAATAAATACACTTATTTGAATTATAGTATTTCTTTATTTTTCTACACACATTTTTATAAAAAATTAATAATTATATTTACTTAGATCATCCAAACAAATCACATAATCTAACACTCCTTTAGTGTTTTTTTTATAAAAATACAGATAATAATAAAAATGTCATAATTTTAAATTTATTTACTAAAAGGCCCTTAACACATTAATTAACACACTCTGACACACACTAGTAGTACATTAAAGTCATTACTGAGGTCCTTGTCAAAATGCTTAAAAAGTCAACAATCATTATTAATTGCAAACTATGACAAACTTTGTTCTTGAATCAAATAAATGAGCAAATGAGAATATTACTAAAAACAAAATCAAAAAAAAATTAAAAAAATTATTTTATACCGGCAGGCGGCGAGAATATAGGTAACGATCTAAGTAGTTGACGGACAGATACGCCGTTAGCGGCTGGAATCCATAGTAAGCTTGAACCTGCAAACAAAAACAAAAACAAAAAGGCAAAACATCAAACTATTATCACCTCCATGTAACTTTAATCCAGCTCAGATAAGCCAAAAAAAGAATTTGTATAGATCGCCGTCAAATCTCTGACGCATCGCCGATTATCGGACGGTTCGAAAACCGTCTCGGTGCATGCTAAAATGCGCTGGCTAGCACGCAGCTAGAATCATATTGCATAATCGTACAGTACGCATCCGGCATATGCTAGCATATTCACCGAACGCTAAAATGATGTATTCCAACGTAATCTACATGATTCGGTGAATCGCACCTGCGCAGGTTAGTGAAGAGTGACGAAGAAGAAGAAGACGATCGGAGAGAGGAGAGTATTGACAGAGATACCTTGAGAATCCATGCAACAGAATGTTCGCGAGCCGATGCATCGGACGACTGAGACTGAAACCTCTCGATGTAATCGATTCCAGGCACGTAATTCCTCTCGTCTTCCATAAATCCGGCGATCGATTCTTCTGTATCGGCCGGAGATTCGAGGTCCGACGACGAACATTCCGGCAAGTCTCTCAACAAGATTTCGGAATCCTCGCCGCATAGTAAGTCGGAGAAGCAATCGTCGGAACAGGAGACTGACGTCATCGCCGGTAGTTCTTCATACTGGTGTCGTCATCTTCGTCGGAGAAGAAATCGGAATAGTTAGAGAGAGAAAGAGGTTTTTGAGATTCAAGTTTGATGGAGTTTGTATGTGATTGCTTGGATATAAATATGACTATTGAGTGGTGTGTGTGTGTGTAATGTATTTGTTTTTATTAATTTTGTTTTTTTGTGAGATTAAATATCCGGAAAAGGAAAAGAAAATGTCTTCGATTATCATTTTCCCGGGAAAATAGAATACCATTTTAGGAGAGAAATGTTTGAGGACGAGGCGTATTTGATGTAGTTTGATGTTAGAGTCTACTAGCAACCGCGTGGACCTTAACTTATATACGATGTCGAGTGTTGTAGACCCAAGTATTCGGATTTTTATATATATATATATATCTATGTTTTCTAAGGGACTGCTTCCCTCTAGTTTTATGCTGCGTTTGGTTGGGGGATTTAAGAAGAGATTTGGAAAGGATAAAGGAAAAGTTAGGTGAAATGTGAATAAAATATATTTACATTTCACATAGTTTCACATACCTTTTCCCTTTCCCTTTCCAAATCCCTCCCCAAATCCCCCAACCAAACACACCATTAGATTGAATTGGATGATATTGTTAACTCTATCATTGTCTCATTTCAATAATTTAAAACATTTAATATATAAAATTTATTGAGTAGAATATGTTTATAAAAAAATTACGTTGATCGAATATTGATAGTTATTTTATCGGATCAGATTTATGTCAATCGTTTATTTTTTTACTAATCATTTTTTTATGTAAAATTTATTTGATCAAATAACTATCGATATTTTTTATATGCATATAATACTCAAACGAGTTCTACACATTATACGATTCGAATTATCGAAACGAAACCCGTAATGAATCCTAATAACTCAACAATACTCTCTAATCTAGAACTAGACAAAAGTTAGACCTTTTTTCAAATATCGCTCTTAAAGTGGTTTAATTTATACCAATGCCTTTGCTAATCACAATTGATTTGATTCACAATTTAAAATTTTTAATTCATTTTTAAAACCGTTTTTTCGTGTCATAGTTAGGGGTTTTTTGGAGTGTCTTAAATAAGTGTACTTTTTGTCTTTTTAGACTAAAAAATTGAGGAAGAAAATATAGATGTTTGGGTTAACTTTTTGACTTTTTATGAAAAAATGTGTAAAAAATTATAAAAATTAGTTTGTAAGAGAAAATTAGAATTGGGAGTTGTGCAGCTGTAATTATTGACTTTTGGTGAATAGTGTTAACTTTTTAACTTTTTGAGTAACTTTTTGACTTTTTGACTTTTCCTGAACATGCCAAACTTGGCCTTAATATATAGGCTCTTTTGGAAACACCAATAAAAAATTAATTTTTTGACTTTTTAATTTTTTTAGCTAAAAAAATCAAATTTTTTACCTAAAATAATCTAATTTTTTGCTAAAAAAATTACTAAAAAAGTCAAAAAGTCAACTTTTTATCAACTTTCCAAAACACCACTATATTAATACAAAGTATTATTATATATATATATATATATAAATATTATGTGAATGCTAATAATTATTTAAATTTATTTTTCAATCAACTAATATGTTAAAATCGCTCTAATCATAGTTTGATTATAGATAGTAAATTTATAAATTTACCATCTACGGTTTGATTTTAATTTTATCCACAAATTATATTAAATTGCACTACACACACCCTACTAATTGAGATAAAAATTTATTTGGTTGAATTATTTATCAAAAATGTGAGAAAATAATTTAATATCCATGACTTCTTTAAACACTATCACATTACCTCATAAAGTAGTGAAATTCAATTTTTTTTAAAATATATTATACATAAAATAATACAAAATGGAAATTTTATTTTTTTAATTTAAAAATATCAAAATGTTTTATATTTTTAAAAAATTCAAAATTTGGGTAAAAAAATTATTTTCTTACGCAACATGTAAAATAATAATAATAATAATTTGTAAACATCTCAAATGACATTACTATTTGTTTACTAATTTTTTTGCAAGCAATCAAGTAATTGTATAAAATAATGGGGCAATTACAATACAATGGATTGTAGATAAAAAAAATTTACAAGCAACAATTTTTTTAAAATTTTAATTATTAATATTTAGAAAATTTATCACTTGTGTGTAATTTTTTTTTATATAAATTTACATTGAATTATAACTTTTCCTAAAATAACGTCTTGTTTGGAGTGTCTTAAAAAAATTAAAAAATCAAAAAGTTATTATCCTATTTAAATTATATTATCTTATTTAATTTATATCACATTTCTATCACATCACTTCAAATTTAATCTATATTTTATAAAAAATCCAAAATTACATTTATTTAGAATATTTTAAACCATCCCTAATTCTTATAACAAGGTGAATCTTATAATGCGCAAGTCACGTGAATAGTCAGTGATGAGAGAGAATGGTATTGGAACAGGGAAGAAAAAGCCAAAACTCGAGCACATGTCTTACTGTTCCAGAGAGAGAGAGAGAGAGAGAGAGAGCGTATCGTTTGAAATTGAGTTGAGTCACATTATGCTTTGATTAGTCAAATGGCGGGAAAGATTACTGATTTCTTTCACGCGTTCTGCCCGCGAATATATACTACTATTGTATTTGTATCAGAAAATTGAAAATAATTTTTTAACTTTTTTCTGAAAAGATGTGAACAAAAAAAAAAGTGATGTAATAATTTATAATTATTTTTTGAATTTTTAACTAAAATATTTAAGCCTTATTTGTCATAATCTAAAAAAGTCAAAAAGTCACTATCCTATTTAAATCATATTATCTTATTTAAGTCACATCACTTCTCTATCACATCATTTCAAACCTAACTTATATTTTATAAAAATTTAAAAAGTGCACTTACTTAGAACATCTCAGGCTTCGTTTGGGAAACCATGGTTTGGGTTTTTTTGGCTATTTTAGCCACAAAAAACAAAATAAGTTATTTTAGCCATAACAAACAAAACATCACATCCAACCCATAATCATTATATTCTTCTCTCACAAAAAAATTCAAAAAAATCAAAAAGTCAAAAAGTCAAAAAGCCAAAAAGCCTTTCCAAACCAAACTTTTAAGCCCAGGCTAAAATAGCCAAAAAATCCAAAAAGTCAACCCACTTCCCAAACGGAGGCTCAAATAATCCTTTAGTTTCCAAATGAGGTCTAAGTATATAGCGCACTTTGAGAAGCTGGTTAAAAGTTAATTTTTAATTTTTAACTTTTAACTTGTTTTAGATTGCATTACCTCTCACTTTTTTACCCACAAAAAAAATATAATAAAATAAAAAAAAACTAAAAAATTAGTTTTTAACCAACTTCTCAAATAATATTAAAAATATTATAAGTCTCAAAATTTTTCATAAATATTTTATTCATTTGGAATGATATAATATTTAGTAAAAATTTTGATATTTCAGCCTAACTCATGGGTCATGTTTGATTGGGGATCTAGAATGGTGGATTGGATTGCCAATACGTGGGACCCACCAAACCCTTATTTGGACACAACAACATGACATAGGATTAATAGTGAAGGGGACTTAGTAATTCCCATATGTAGGGGGATTAGTGAGGAAACTTACGTGTAAATCCTAATAAATAGATTTATTATCTAATATCTTATGAGAAAAATTTGGGGAGATTTGGTGATAGCCCCCTCACTATCTAATTTGTCTTTCAAAATGACAAGAATTATATAAGTACTTTCAAAATCCCCTAATATTTTAAAACTTGTTTCTTTTACTATATTACCCTTATATCTATCAGCTCTCCTATTAAGTCATCTTCACTATATATTTCAGAGTAAAATTTTACTCTGTATAAAAGTAAAATTTTACTCTGATTCTGTCAAATGAAAAAAACAGAGCAATAGAACCAGAGTAAAATTTTGCTCTGGTTCTGTCAAATGAAATTAAATACAAAACAACAAAAATAAATAAAAAACAAACAAACAAACAAAAACAAAACAAATTAATCAACAAATCAACATATCTAATTGAGAAGAAAAACTTCTAAAACTCGATCAACAATCACAAATCTCAATGAAAAGAATACATGTGTTCAACAACACTCATACACACAAATATATATATATATATATATACATATATTCAAAACTCAAATCTGTGTTTAAAAAAATATGTATAACCAAACAACTCCACCCATACTCTTCTCCACGTGGTCATTGTGAACTCGATGGATCTTCAAATTGCAATAGAAGTTTCAAATTGAGTCTAATTTCGCTTCAAGATAGCAAACACAAGTCTGATTTCGATTCAGTTAGCGAAGTCGATCTGCAAGTCGTTCGAACTTAGAGTTTGCAACCTTTAAGCCAGATGCAAACTGAAATCGCAATTCCAATTAGAACTTGAAATCCAAAGTTCTCATCGAAGTTGACTCAAAGAACAACGAGTCACAAGAGAGAACCCAAGGTCAGATCGCGAAGGACTCCAGTTCATAATCGCGAGTTCCAGAAGCTTGAATTTGGGTTGATTGTCGAATCGGAACTCGATGGATCTTCAAATTGCAATAGAAGTTTCAAATTGAGTCTAATTTCGCTTCAAGATAGCAAACACAAGTCTGATTTCGATTCAGTTAGCGAAGTCGATCTGCAATTTCGCTCCAAAGTTCTTATCGAAGTTGACTCAAAGAACAACGAGTCACAAGAGAGAACCCAAGGTCGGATCGCGAAGGACTCCAGTTCGTAATCGCGAGTTCCAGAAGCTTGAATTCGGGTTGATTGTCGAATCGGATCAATTTTGCGATGAAGTCCTTGGTTTCTTAACAGACGCAAATTAGATTAAAGCTTCAAACTAAGCTTCAATTCAAATACACAGCTCAGATTGTGATTTCTTGAACCAGGTCAGTGTTCTAGGTCAAAGATTGAATGAATCTTAGGCTTAGATGAACTCGATTTTGGCTGGCCAGAGTCATAGAGACCAATAAGGTGGAGAGAGAGTGGGTGGAGAAGGTGGAAAGATTTAGTTGAGGGTATAATAGTCTGAAAAAATATTTAAATAATAAATTTTGTCCTTTATGCAAGATTTTATAATTATGAAGGGGTTTAGAAAATTTAATTTTTTTCTTAATCCTTTTAACAATGAAAGGAATGTAAAGGGGGTTTATAACCAAATTTCCCAAAAATTTGTCATAAAAAAAGTTACTAATTGTAAGTTTTAGCGACAATTTATAAAAATCATGACAAAAAAATCACTAATTGTGAATTTTTAGCGATATATATAAAAAATTA